AGTAGTATGTTTGGATCAATTCAGATAAGACAAGCCTAATATTCTGAAGGAACGGGGAGAAAGTAGTATGATTTAACTAATTCAAAAGCCAAGCACAGTATTTTGGAGGAACAGGAAAAAAATTAGGAGTGTATTTGAGTTAGATCAGTCAAAATGATAGTTTTTATTATGCATAGAGTTAAAGCTACAAACTAAAATTACTTTTTGGAATGATAGCATGGTAAAATTAGAAGTAAAACAATGGACTACTATAGCTTCTATAGTACTAGGTGATGTATCACAACAAATAATAAGCTGTCAAGAATAAAATATCAAAACAAGAGAGATCAAATTTATCACAAATTATATTCAAAATTATCACTTTCATTGGCTTTATTTTCTTTACCTTGCTCAGCCTCGTCATTTCCATCTACATCATCAACATTTTCACTCTCATTATCACTTTCTTCAGATAAGATTTCTTGGCGACCTCTAGGCCTCTGAAGATTCTGTAGTTGTTCTTCGTAATCAGATTCCTCATTCTCGCTGTCTGTCTCCCAGTTAAAATCTTCATTATTATCATTTCCTACATCTTCAACATTTCCTTCGTCTTCACTTTCATCCATTAAAGCCAAAGGATTGGACAAGTCAGGGAAGTTCACCAGTCCAAGGTAAAATGCATGCTTATTAGATGGTATAATTAAGTCATTGCACATGCTTGCTAAATCTTTCAGCTTATTTTTGTCCAATTCCAAAGGGCTATTATAAGCATGTTGAAATTTAAAGCTGTTCAGATTAATTGGACGTCCCACTTTGCAAGTAATTTTTATTTCCATTTGTTGAGGGTTGCCCAAGTCATGCCTCAACATTACCTTACCAGGAGTCTCACTATCAATAATAATTTCACGAACAGAACGCCATTTAGCTTTTTGGTGCGTCCACTTTTGGTACTTGTCTGCTAGAGGGTGAAAGTCAAGTATTTGTCCTCCCACTTCAGTTAACTCATATTTGTTTCCGTTAACCTTGCAATTTTTGATAATGTCAATCCAATCAAATGGTTCATATACAGACTTGAATTTGGAGAATCGTTCAATTCTTGCATGCATGCTATCTGCCTCGTTCATAGTATGACCTTTCTCCATATACCTGTGGATTATCTTGATTTTGTACTTAGCACAAGCATGGGTGTACATACTGAACAAATACTTGTTCTTATTCTGTCCGCTGCAATTATCAGACCAGAAAATAATTTCTTTCACTCCTCTGTTTGCCATCATTTCAATAAACAGCAGAACACTTGTTGCAATTTCATTTGCACCTTTTCTGGCCTCGCTTTCATTCCAAGTATAACAAAACCCTTGATGCTCAATAACATTGTAGATTGTGAAATTATACATGGATAACTTCCGCTTGTAGTAAACTTCGCCAATGTCAAGATTGGGAACACACAATGTTTTTTGTAAGTCATAGATTGCATAACACACAGTGTCCTTTTTTTCTTGAGCGTATTCTCTATCAGCTTTGCGAGCAACTTTTGCATCATTCTTATGTTTAAGATGCATGTCAAACTTTTCCTGTAATTTGGCTTTTTGAGCAGCATTACACAAGTCAAAAACACTACACATATCACACATATCTTTTTTAGGCTTATGGAAACCAAGATTGAATTTGGTATTGAAGACAGATCTGTAGAACGTCTCAGCCTTCACTTGATCATTTGGCTTCACTTTAGACATCCATACCCTGTACAGGCGATACATTTTGCTTATATTCAAAGTAGTTGGTAAATACTTCCTTTGCGATTTTGCTCGACAAAAATGTGATGGTACAGCTTTGAATAATTTAATATGCTCTTCAACATTCTCTGTATTCTTCTGGTGAACTTCGGGGGCAACCTTGTTGTGACGACCTCTCATATCAGGTGAAATTACGTGACCATTGCCTGCTTTCAATTTCTTCACTACTGTTTTAGTCCAGGCTTCAGAAATACTGAAAGTCTGCAAGAACATAGTTTTACAAACAAATGTCATCTTTCCATCAATAACAAAAAAATACTTAATGGTATTTTGCTTGTGCTTTGAATCAGGGAAATGAACAGCAGGATCTTTACGAAGTATGTGGTCCTTTATGTAGTCTTGCTGTCTAGTGTGATCTCCCATGGCCCAAAAGCTCGAAAATATTTTCTGTCTATCCTCCTCATTAACCTTTGTAGGGCATTTGAAACGACAATCCTCACATGGACCACCCATAGTCTTTGCTTCCTTTGGTTTTCCCTTCACATTCACATGAGCCAAACCTTTGTTTCTCAATGCCTTAATCTGATCTTGTTTTGATTGGTGCTTCAATTTTTTTCTTGTATTCTTTGCATTATCATTGACTATATTATTTTCTTTTTCATTAGTTGGTTCTAAATTAGCCTGAGTTTCCAAACCTAAAGCTGTAGCCTGTTCATCTGAAATGAAAGGACTAATAGTTTACACAATTTTAAACTTGTATAAATTCACGTAAATCCTCACTAGAAAAATTAGGGAATAAACTTACCATCAATATTGAGAATATTCAACACAATATCTTCATCAACAATAGATAAAGCTAAGGGATTCGAATCATCCACTAAATTGTTATAATCTTCTAAATCCAATAAGATTCCCATTTCTTCCACATTTTGTGCATTATTGATTTCACCTAGAAATTCAGAAATGTTTACAGTACATTCTTTGATAAACTATACTACAACAGGTATACCAATAAAAATGTTGCTAGTAATACAAACCATTTATGACATCAGAAATTTGGACATTTTGTCTGGGTGAAGGCACCGGGCCATGAGCACTTTCTAAACATAAAAAATAAAAATAAAAATGAGTAAAATCACAAAGTTTCTATCTTGTTCATGCCACACAATAAAAAAATGCATTGCCAAATCTTGAACCTCTAAAAATATGGAAAGAGACTCTACCTTGACTCACAGAATCAGTAGTTGAGGATAAAACTGGCTGCTGTGTAGTACTTGAATCCAACAAACAAGATTTTAGAGGTGAAATATCCTCATTAGTGGACAGAAGACTTGGCTTAGTAGTATCCGGAAGACAGTTAGATCCTGAAAAGAAAAATATTTCTTCATTAGAAACCGCCTTAATAACATCAGAATAGCTGGTTACATGCTTTTAAGAAGAGATATACTGCAATAGTTGTAAAGCTCTTACTCTGCGGAGGGGACTGAATAGATGCCCTTGGTGACGGAACAGGTATTTCCTTTTGAAGTGAAGTACGTGGAGAAGGAATAGGTCTTTCTCCTAGTTGACTCACTGACCTTGGTGATGGAATGGGCTTTTCTGTCTCTATAGAAATCCTTGGAGATGGAACGGGCCTATCTTTATGTCGAGGAGTAGGCTTTGGTAATGACCTGGAGCTTTCGGTACTTAGAGCATTGGCTTTAGCAGAATCCCAAATCAGCTCTGTGGTGAGGGGCACTACGGATGTTTCTGCAAGATATAATAGAATCATTAAAAGAAATAAACATTATTAACCTTTTCAGAATAATGAACACAAGTGACACAGAAATTCATCAAAATAAAAAACTGCTAACTTTGGAAATTATTTGCTAATGAGTAGTGAAAGAAAAAATGGATTACCATGGGACTTGATTTTACCTTTAACACTTGTGATTGGTGTCCCTAGAATTTCAGTGTCACTGTTACAAGACTGAGCTATGCCAGGTGTGCAGATTCTGAAAAAGGAAGCTTCCTACGAGGGTCCCTTTTAGTATTGTTTTCTGTAAAAGATTAAGAAATGAAATAAGATAAAATGTGAAATATTAGCAGAAATACACCCATTACCTCAACATTTAAAACATTCCTGGGCACTCACTTTCTCTTTCTTTTGCATAAGGATTGCCTTGTTGACTTGCAGTGAGTATTCTTTTGGCACCTGGAGAACACAAAGCCTTATTTGGAGATCCATGGAATTTAGATGGAGAGGGTGGTACATTACTATTCTGAGTCTGGCTGCTAAATTGATTTTCAGATAAAGGAGTTCTGGTAAGAAAGGAAACTTTCCTTCTAGGGCTAGCAGCAGTATCATTGTTTCCTGAAACAAATAGGAATATATTTAACAAAAGAAGGCAAACATAGGAGCTCCTAAAGTGAATCAAAATATTTTTCAGAACTTACTTTTACACTCTCTAGGTTCAGGTACATCTTGAAGACTTGTAGCTGATAACTTTTTAGAAGATGGAGAGCCTAAGGAAGTCTTAAACTCAGATGCTTTTTGCTTGGATGGAAATTGTTGATATTTTAAGGTATTTACATTATAAGAAAGTTTCCTTTTGGCCTTTAAAAATGTTTTCTTTGGATCTTTGTTCTCTGTAAATAAGTTAAAAAAGTTACAAAAAGAAAACGGTTTAGATAGTTAAATACTTTGACGAAACAAAGAAAATTGGAACTGGGTTGCACGGTCAGAAATACACACCATCTCCTCCGGATAAATCAGCAGATAAAACTGTTGGGGATGTTGGCGTATTGAAGGCTTCTTCAGCATCACAACTATTATTGTTTAAATCTGAAATTAAATTTAAAACAAAAACAAACTCAGTAATCAAACACCAAAGTTCCCCCCAAAAGAATGATTTTATAAATGGTTTTAAGTTAAGAATGAAGAAATCTTACCTGGTTGCTTAGTTTTTCTTATTGGATCTGATTTATCTGTTATTTGATATGCTACTGGTGTCGTCTCTACTCCTGCAGCTACACACACAAGAAAATGGTCCTGATTAGTAAGATCTATTGAAATGTTGAACAATCTGCTCGTACCGGATTAATTGAAGCATAGTTTCTTAACATTTTCTTACCTGATAATTCAGTATCAAAATCAGCATATGCGCTTTCGTCAACTGAAGGACAAGCGCTCTCCGGGATAGGACTAGGTGCATTTCTCACCCAACGTTCAACCCTTTCATTTGAAGGAACTGAGAAAGTAAACAAAAAGACAATGGTTAGTATGTTCCTTTCATTCTGATGTGGGTAAGATATAAACAATAATAATAATACACTAAAATATTTGCTTTTAATACAAGTATGTAGTATGATACTAAATTAGTTTCCCAATGAAACCAAACTGACAAATCTGAATGAAAATAAGTGGAGCCATGACATGCTGTTGGAAAACAAGATAAAATTGGACCCAAATGATAGAGGGCTAGCAAAAATGTACTTAAAGAAGTGTGAATGATGAAAGAACTTTGGCAACATCAAAGCAACCTCCAGAAACATTACTCGTAAAATTGTTCCGTAACGAAGTACGAATTTCCTCCTATCAGTCCAGAATAGAGAAAAATATAAGATAACAAGTTAAATACCGACTGCAGCATGTAATAGAATGTTTTTTATGGCCAAAGAGTCAACAAAATGAGAACATCAACAGGTTATGATGCGGCTACATTGGTTTAAGATCGACAAATAACCTTAATTCTGTGGTCATCAGTATTTTCATGACAACAAATGTACGCACCTTGCTCACTTGGTAGTTCAGGTGGTTTTGGAATGTTGTTCTTTAACGTGGCTAACCACTGAGATCTTAACGCGCACATTTTTCTTCACATCACGAAACAAAATTCATTCGATACTCTAGGCTACCCGACTCGTCCACAAACATCATCGCAGGGCATGATGGGAAGGCGCGAACTACGACGTTGTTGTTGCCTACCGACACCAGACTCCACAAAAGTCCCTAATTTAGATTTCGATTATCGCCGTCAATATTATAGATAGCCATGTGCCGTTTCCTCAGAAAAATAGCGCAAAAAATCTAGTTTCCGAAAATATACATAACTCAAAACTCTCAAAAATGCGACTTACGATCATTCTCAGCGACCCTCACGAGACCCGACGTTCTACGCGAGCGCTGGGAGAAACGACCTTATAGGCGATGCCCCCGAAGAACGACGTTATACGCGACCGCTGTGAATGCCGACCTTTTAGTTTTCAGGTGTCGATATAAGATTCCAGTAATATTAGAATTAAATACATTTTATGGCATCAAGTATCACAAATGTTGTCACCTAAACATAGTGAAGATTTAAAGTATCATATCATAGAAAAAATGTCACTTTCTGGCTAAGGCTGGTAACCATTTAAAATAAAATATAATAAAAAGTATCACTTTCTGGTTAAGACTATTAAAGTACACACTCCTCACAGACAAAGTCTGGATTATAATCTTGTAAGCGAAGACATTTCATGTGAAACCATGTCTTACAAACCTTGCACTGTATCCACTGCTCCCCGTTAAAATCATTTTGAAAGCTTCCATTGCACAACCCACATTTTTCATTATCTTCATTTTCACTGTTGTCTGCTTCACTTTCACTACTGATGTCCTCTACTTCACTAGGACTGTCACACTCAGATAAATCTGGTTCTGCATTCTTCCTCTTCTTCTTGTTTGTAGTCTTCGTTACTGGTTTGCTTGTTTCTGCAGCTCTTTTTCTCTTGTCCTGCCTGTCTCTTTTTTCTTTCTCCTTTCTCTCTTTTTCTGCTTCTTTTGTCACCAGTTCTCTTCTAAATTCATCACAGGTTATGAGCCTTGATACAGTGATTCTCCTTGAGGGCTTGGACGGAACTTCTTCACATGGCTGCAGTAGGCTTCTAACAGCTTCAACAACTGGAGTCCCCTGATTACTTTCAGTAATGTCTCGAAGTGGCCTTGGATTAATAGTTTCATTCTCTATTGAACCTGCAAAGAAAATATAAATGTATTTTTTAAATAACTAACAGTGCATTATTATACCATAACAATAATACTATAACTGTTAAATTAAAACTTACTCCTAGTTGTAGAAACAGCATTATGGTGTGCAAATCTGAACAGGCTTTTCCGTGCTAAAGCCTGTGGATTGCGTTCAACATCACTCCCTATAAATAAAAAAATAAAAAAAAATGTTTTAACTTATTTTCAAAATTAATAAATACAAGTAGATTATGTACTAATTCTCTACTAAACTGTTTGCCCAATTATCATAACTCCAAATGTTAAAAACACAACAATGATATCAAAGAGAAAAATAAATTAGTCAACCTGGCACAGGAAGTAATGGAGTTCGGTCCAAGTCAAGTGAACAGGCAGAACCTGAAGGGGGTGTTTGGTCACAAGTGGGTGTTAAATTTGAGTTAGATTCCAAACCTAACATTAAAAGGAAAACAAAAAAAACAACATGTTGGCAGAATTATTCCAAAGGTTTACTTAAGTCAGCAAATTATATCTGAAATATAATTACCAGGGAGATGAATTGCATTTGGATTGTAAGGCCATACTCCAGATCCCTTGAAGCCACCTTGGATATTAGCAGGTGTAATAGCTTTCACCCATGCTGGGTTAAGAACACGGGCTACTTGGTATCTATTAATTTGTTTAATCTTATTTCTCCTTATAAGTTTGGTAGACTCTTGAGAGAAAGCAGATTTAAAGGGTTTAAACACACCCACATCAAGGGGTTGCAAGTAACTAGTAGTGTGGGGTGGAAAACATAAAATATGAATGTTGTTGGCACGAGCCATGTCAATAATTTTAAGTTGGATATGGCACGCATGCCCATCCATTAGCAGAAGCACTGGCCGAGGAGGTGGCAGGGCATCAATAAACCGTTGAAACCAGTCAACAAAAATTCAGAGTCAATGAAACTTTTCTTTGAGTAAGCAAAAATAGTACCTTCAGGTGCACCATCAGTTAAATCAAAATTCAATGACTTGCCTCGATAAATAAGAGTGGGTGGAAGGATGTGATTGCCTGTGGAATTGACTGTTACAATGGCAGTAATATTTTCACCTCTCTCACCACCAGAACGAGCACGAACATTTCTTGAACCTTTGGGGGCAACTACTTTTCCGGATT